GCCTCGGCCTCCCAGAGAGCTAGGATTACAGGCGTGAGCCACCGCGCCCGGCCCAAAACTAAGTTTTTTTAAAAAGCCATTTTTCAATCCTATGGATCAATAAAAAACACACTGGTTCTAGAATGAAACAAAAACAATGCCATACTGATTTTCTAAAGGAGGCAAAATGTTTATTTAATAAAATACTTTCTGCAATAAGAACTTGAGTAACTGAAAATCACACTTCTAAAATACTCTATATTTTCTTTCAATAATCTCTTACTTAGGTTACTATCTAATTTTTAAAATCTCTTGTGAAATACAACAGGTACAGGTCTCACTCTCTTACAGCAGCAGTGGGAAGAACTATTAATATAATTTCTCCAATATATTTCCAGAAAAAAAAAATCTCTTGTAAAGAATGTTATATAAATAATGAGAGAAACAGATGAAGAGTCTGACTCAAATCCAAAGAATACTTACTTAGAGGGAGTTAATTGAACACAATAGACTATGGAGACCTTGATAGTGAACATATCCAAGTACTGTGCAAAGTAAAAGCCTGCCTAAACTTTGTCTCTTTAAGAAATTGTAAGGCCCAAATTCACACAAGTAGGTTTGGGACAGAGAAGAATCAGTGTTCTTAGCATGATAACAACATGAATGATTTCATTTCCACCAGAAACTATTTTTGGCCTTTTCTATTTACCTGCCACACTGCTATTCCTCTGACGTGCCAACTTGACCTCTGGACACTCCCTTCGTACGTGTCCTGCATCTCCACATATAAAACATCTAAGGTCTCTGGGGTCTCTAAAGTCTCGAGTGTCGTGGAGGTCTCGTGGGTCAAGGTCTCGGGAGTCTTTCTCCTCTTCATTCCCTTCCTTCTCTTCTTCACTGTCTTTCTTCTTTAGTCTAAAGAGTAAACTGCTGATACCAATAATGTGGGGCTAGGGACTTTGTAAACTGAGTAACAGAACAAACTAAACTATACAAGAGTCTCACAATAACAAAGGGACTAACATGCCCACTATGTCATGCATCTTTTTTAAGGCAAGGAAACTCACATTTATAGCACACCTACTTATTTGACAGAAACTGGGTATTCCAGTAGTTTTGTAATACAATATATTTTAAATTTATTAATATCAAATTTTGAACCTCTAATAATCTTTTTAGTTGTCTGATTAATTTCTTTCTATTTTTAGTAGAGACGGGGTCTCATTCTTGCTCAGGCTGATCTCGAACTCCTGAGCTCAAACAATCCGCCCGCCTCGGCCTCCCAGAGTGCTAGGATTACAGGCGTGAGCCACCGCGCCCAGCCCAAGAAAAAATAACAATGTTAAAAATTGTTAAAGCCTGGTGGTGATATATAAGGTTTATTATTTCTACATGTTTTTATATTTTTGAAATAGTTTATAATAAACAGGAAGAATGCATGTATAGCACACAGTTTACATTCAACAAATGTTAACTACAATAAATGTTGTTATTGTTATATAATATTTATGAAAGTATCAGGCACGTAGTATGTACTCAATGTTTGGAGCAGGGTGGGGAACTTCCTAAATGTTTTTCCAAGATTCTCCCTATCACCGCTCTTCAAATACTAAAACACAAATCACATCAGGTTTAGCATGTTTAATAGTTAACAGCTTTGAAGCTAGAAAGACCTGGTTTGAATCTTTATAATCTTTTATTCTCACCTTTCCAATTTGTAAAATTTGATCATACAATACCTACCACTTCACAGGGCCACCCAAAGGATTAAATTTGATAATAAGTGTGAAGCACTTAAATACAGTGTCAGGTTTAGAGTAAGGACTCAATTAATATTGAATTAATTAAGAAGTGTAAAGTGAATACAGATTAGACAAAGATTAAGAACTCAGCAAACTTAATATAAAACTTTTAAGTCTCAATTCTAATTCAATATTCTGTTTTTTACAGAATACATTTCACTAAGTAGCCATATGTCAAGCTATGAGAAGATACACAAAAGTTTTATGCAAGCAAAATGACATGTACATATAGCCCTAACAGCACTAAACTCCAAATACATCTCAATTTTTATGCTTATTTTTATTACTCGTACTGATATTTTTCTATAAGGCAAAGCCTGAAACCTCAAAGTCATTACCTTATTTTAATCTATCTTATTAGGTAGTTATTATCATATTTTACGAATGAGGAAGTGGGCTCATGTAAATTAAGTAGCTTGCCCATAGATAGAAACCCAGATCTACATTACTCCAAAGCAATGTTCATTCCACCTTTCCAGTCTAGCAAAGCACCTCTACAAAGCACTATGTAATCTGGAAGATTATATTTGCCAGTCTGAGAAATAAAGCTCTATTACTCATCAAAAATAGTGCCATCTTCCTGTCAAGACTAACCCATTCACAGAGTACTTACACATTCTGAGGACTGTCTAGTCCTTATGGACTGATCACCCTGTTGCTGGGCTGAACCAGCCACCTGTTGAGCATTTACAAGGTTGCGGACCAGCTGGGCTGCTAAGAGAAGACATCACAAAGAAAATCAACAGATAAAGTAGCAGAGAAATGACAATCAGTAAACTCACTTCTTAAGTTTTTTACAAACCTGGACTTTTAAACTACGACTATATTAGTGAAGGACTTGTAACAACTAGTTTTTTTGTGTTTGCTTTTTAAATTTTCTGAGGGGCAGGGAGGATATGCGGAGCAGTTATGCCATGGGAGAAGTGGTCCAGCCCCTTCAAAATTAAGTTGTGTTTTTTTTTTTTTTTTTTTTGA